GCTGTCCCCACGAGCAGCACGGCGCTCGCTGCACTCACAGCACCACACAACACCACACTACGGATCAGCAGCGTCTCGGAGGAATCATCGGGAAAAATGTCCCCTCCGACTGCACTGGCCGTCTCCCAGTCAGCCGTACAACCGGGACAACTTGATCTACTTATGCTGAGCAGCAGCAAGGTACAGAGCAGTATTTTTAATTCTACTGCACATACGGGCTCAAGTCATCCACTTCTCGTTCATTACTTTACAACTCTGATTTTGATGCCAGCACYAGTTTTCATGAGCTTTCTCCTTGCACTGACTTGATTCCTCTTCAGTTGTTGACGACTGCTAGATACTTTCGCATTAAGTTAAAATTTGTATATAGAAAAACAAGTCTTTTCATTCTTACATTAGCCACCTGGTTCATTAGTGTTACTGGAACTGAAGGAACAGAGGTGAAGGCATCATTAGTCTTGAGAGCTCTTACTGGAAGGCAATCTTTTAAAATGCTAAGCAAAACCAGCTTTTGCCTTTTGATCAATACCTGCTTATGCCTGCATAAGAAAAATACTTCAGGTCCTTGAGCTTGGATTGAATTAGATTGTTTCATGGAGAAATAGGTTTATTTGATTTGTAGCTCACTGGGAACATCCATCACCGCTACAATGCTCATCTCTAACGTAGACAGGAGTCAAGCTGAAACTGAGCATTTCCTCTTACGGATCTCCCTGACTTCCTCTATACTGTTCAACAGCCTGGACAGTGTTTGCTTCCAGGAATGCATGATCTAGGGATTCCACAGAGGGAAGAAAGMAGAGAGGGCATTATATTGGACAAGATTTTCAGAAAGAAAGTTACTGAGAATTGTGAAGGGCCTTTTTTGGACCGTTATTTTTTAATTCATTCTCTAGTGTAAGAGAACTTCATATTTATATCAATCACGAAAGACCCTTTGCAAAAGCATCTCCAAGTGCTTAATATTTAATATAATTARCAAAACCCAGCAATGCTTCTCAACACCAGAAGAATACAACAAGAATACAAAGGAGTCGTATTCTCTTTACAACTTGGCAAATTCCAGCAAACAAATCCAGAAGAAAGATGCCAAGTGACTCAAGATTACATTATTTTATCGCGGATCAGTCACCAGTCCCTGTGAAAAGCCGGGACTTGGCTGCCCGCCCACCCTCGGGAAGYGGCCAGGCCAGCTCGGAAGCGAGAGGCTCTCATGCAGCACAAGGCCACGCAGACGCTGCACCAGCCCCACTCAGCAAGGACGCAGTCACCCCGCGACTGTCCCCTCTTCTACTCAAGCTACATTATTTCCTGCTGACGTATGTCCAGAGGGAGGCCAGCATCGAGCTAYCCTGGTCTCCAATGCAGCCTCTCGACCCCAATGCACTCAAATGAGCGCCGTGGTGCTCTCCCTTCCCGGGGTACCCCGCAGCCCTGTTTTGACATTAGCAGCACTGATGCAAACAAGCACTTGCGTGAGATCTGCTCACAGCCACCATGTAAAACAGCTTCTTGCAGGCTGGGCTGTGTTGACCTCCAATTTGCTTCTACTCTACAGCCAATTAAATTCTCAATGGACAGTGACAAATGCACTGCTCGAGATTTTAAATTCTGGTGGAAAAAGGAACGTACGTCCCCATGATGGGTACAGTGCTACAGCTACGGGACTGTAAGGTCAAGGCCTGCGGCTGGAAGCAGACACTGCTTCATCACTAGCAAACTGCTGGAGTCGCCAGCGGCATTGGAAAAGTTGGGAAGAAACTCTGAAGACTCTGAAGGCCAGTWATGGCAGGAAACACAACAGGCTCAGGAGAGTAATTTTTCTGTCACCTATTAATTGCTCTGTATTTCTGTAGCTAAAAATTACACCTCCATGTTATGTATGCAGTATATAACAGGGACACAGGCTGAGGAGATGCTTATATGTGCATTCACACAAGCAACAAAAGTGTTTCAAATCCTTCTGTTCGCATTTTGCCTGTACAGCTGTGTATTTTCCATTTGCAAAGGATGTGCCTGCACATGTACACACAGAGGCAGAATGCGGCTGGAAAAGCTGCATGCACACGAGAGATCACACCTTGCAATGCCCCAGAACCCCTGGGTTAGCTCTCTATATGCCAGTGCAAGACTGTATGCAATACAGTCTCCACTGGTTGTACTCRGCTTACGCACAAAGAAAGCCTAGCATTAAACTGTGTGAACCGTGCAGCAAGCAGCTGCCACGGGTCTGTACAGCCAGGACAATTGCTTCCTGCAYGATGTTGGTCATGGCAGCACGCAGCCCCTCCGGTCCCTGCGGATTGCTCCCGGGCTCCGCAGCAGCGCGGGAAGGAGACAGGGGTTTGCTGAGCACCACCACCACCCAGCGGCTGGCACAGGGAAGCTGCTCCGCACAAACTGCGCTTCTTGCGCAGGCAGCTGGACACGCGTTTTTGAACGGATGTCATCAAGGAGGTTAATATTTTTAAAGCTGCAACTGGCACCCGAAATGATTGCTCACACAAATGTACCCCCTTGTTAAAATACAGCAGGATGGGACACAGAAAACAATACTATGCATTCAGAGCATTTTTAGCTTTGACCATTTTTAATCATATTCATTTTTATTTCTACCTATGAAACTTATTTCTCTTTTTTAAAACATACAGATTAACAAAAATTAATTAATATGTCAAGGTCTACAATGCAAACCACTGACAAATTCTACTATYAGCTAAGGGGATCCAAATATTTAAATTTTACTTGGTTAGAACTCAAATTAATTTTAAGATTAACTGAAATTTTTATGTGCTTGGTYTTAGATGCTATTTAAAAATATCTTTTCACTAGCTCACTACAGGGTCTRTAGCTTTAATGAGAGTGGCACTGGAGCTGACTATGAAAAATAAAAGTTGCTTATGGGAAGCACAAAATGTGAGCAAACAGTCGAGAGCACRTTATTTCAAGCACACTTATTCTTTAGCAAAAGCCCGTTCTTGCTCATACAGGTCGGCTCACTGACTTGGCAATTTCTCGCTGACACTCTCTGAACTGGGCCAGGAGGTCACAAGTTGACCAGAGGTCTGGAGCACCCTGCTAGGGGTTCCTTTATTACCAAAAAGGTCAGGCTGATATGTAATATCCTATAGCACGTCCTACAGCCGTTGTCGGCTGTGGGCTTTTTCCTCCCCAGAAAACYCAGCTGACCCTAAAGCATTTCCTTAATATCTGTTATTCTCAGAAGACGTTTAAGGATGGAGAGATATGTCTGCTAAAAAAGAGACCTTATTAAGGGCTCAGATCCTCTTTTTAAAGCAGCACTGGTTTGACTCAGCAGCAAAGTGCTATGCACAGCAAAATTAAAAATATTTTTAAAAGTACATTTTGCCTCTGCAGCAACCGAACACTGAAAGGCTAAATATATATGAAAGCACCACCATGTCCTCCTCCATATGGGCAGGAAAAGGAAAACCACACTACAAAAAAAAAAAAAATTGGTTCTGGAGTTGAAATTCTGGGCTCCATAATGTAAACCAGTCAAGTTTCCTTCTTTCTCACTCCCCAACTCCATCATAGCTCCCTACTCAAATTAAAAGATATATATATATATGTATGTGTCAATTCTAGTTTTACAGTTTGCACAGCACATATACACATATATCTAGGACAGGAAAATTTGAAATCACTGATAGTGCAAATGCTGCAAGATGCCGGGGGTGTAACTTAGATAAGAAATCAAGAATAGTTGCAGCAACAGAAAGCAGAATATAAAAAGCTGCACTGAAATAACTGATTTTTTCCTGCTATGATAGAAACATTAAAAAACCAAAACAAACACACACACACAACCCTGCTCTACCAAAGGTATTAGCTTCAAATCACTTACCCCTCCAAATGCACCACCACCATCTGCCCCTGGCATAGATTCGACAGAGCTGGTGCTTGCTATCTGAAGGAAACACAATGACACAAACACTTCAGTGTAGTAATTCTTCCTAAAATATGTCAAATGTTAAAAAGAAAACACAGAGTTTAGCTCTGACTTCTCAGCTGTTCTGTTGTGAGCTCCCTCAGTCTCAGTCAGCAAACCCTTGCACYGACCCGCGTGCCTGCTCCCCGTGAGCACTGCTGCTGCATGCAGCAACCCGGCAGACTCTGAACTGCACTTCCTTTGACCCCTATAAGCCAAAAGGGCAAGTGATTTATGTGGTCATTTGAAAAGTATTTGTCTTTTTTTTTCCTCTTAATTGCAAGACGTTCCTTAATGTCTAGTGTACAGTATAAATGCAAACTGACATCTATAAATATTCAATACWTAAACCTGAGGGCAAATAATAAGCCTGTTACACTGAAAGCACATCCTAAAGGAAGGACATTTCAGCTGGCAGCGCTTTGCAGGGATGCTTTGTTCTCACWTGAGGAGGCTCTTTGCAGCCAACCCTCCTACCCTACCTGCAGGCCACTCTTCCCGAGCCCGGAACAGGCTATGAGCCCATCCACAGCTCCAGGCTGTGGCAAAATCGTTTTACCACTGCTATTAGAAACGACCTGAGCTGCTGCACCAAGGAGGCAACYGGACAGAAGGGGTTTGCTCGGCTTTGTGTCCCAACACCTTACACCTGATCCCACAGCCCTGGAGAACAGGCAGGGTGAGCGGGGAGGCGGCGGGTGTGCGCACAGCCCAAGCACAACACCTCCCCCGAGCACAACCCCCCTCAGCACAACACCCCTCCAAAGGGCTGTCCCTTGGGAAAGAAGCCACATGTTCTCCCTCCAGCCACCTCTATCTGCCTCTGCGAAAAACAGCCATCCTACCGACTCCCCAGTTGTGTGCAAAGGGGGTTCCCAACAGAAACCAGCCTGGGCACCGTGGAGCYCATCCTGCCCAGCAAGGATACGTGGCCGCTCTGACACAGGAGAACAAGAGTGAGACTGAACACGGAGAAGAGATACTGGGGTCTGGAAGGGAGATGGAGAACCCCCCAGTAAGTTTAGTGAAAAGGGGAAAATGCTTTTGTTGCCCTTCCAGATCCCTTCTCCTTTTTGTTTGGAATCACAAGCCAAACACATTACACATGTTAAATACACAAATAATAATGAATAATAATGTACCCCAGAATGGTCAGCTCTAGAGAGAGGAAGAGAAAAGCAAGGGGATAAAGAACTGATAATAACAGCCTCCAGAAATCACAATTTAACTAATGAAGGCACTCCTGGCTCTCAGAGCCGGAGGCTGCCCCTTCCACAGCGCTCAGCCCCCTGCGGAGCAGGTACCACCTTTTCCCTGACAGTTTTCTAAAAGCACACAGACTAGGTTCTTCCCCAGCACCAGGCCTTTCTCTGCTGAGATTAAGCAGCTCCCAGAATGGTCCTCTCCTTGGCAGAACTTTTGCACAGCCTGAAAAGAAGAAACATTTACCTGGCCTGTGGCAGGTGAAAACAGACAGCAGGGAGTTGCGTGTCCCTTTGCTGAAGGAATAAATCACTGTGGGACCCTGAGGCTTTCCAAAGCACCTTTAAAAGACTGTGGTYAGAGTGGTGAACGGGCAGGCAGCAATGCCTCCTCGCTACTGTCAGACCTCTGCACCTGCAAGAAACTTCAGTCTTCTGCAGGAGAACCACGGGCTGAGGAGCAGCCCTTAATGCCTGTATAACACTCTGCAAGTCAGCATGGAAAAGGAAAGTATGTTAAGAACTGTGTGCAAAGACACGCAGCAGTCACAAACTACTGCAATTAMTCACAGACACTGTACCGTATAAAGTGCACGGACACGGATGWGAGAAAGGATGTGAGGAGAATAATTTGGCTTTTTTTCAATAACCTTACTAGGTCCAGAGTCCCCTTTCTAGTAGCTGTTAYGGATCTGAGCAGGAATCCACAAAGCATATCTACCTTTTGACTCATGAGAGCAAAAAAAAAGAAGCTCGCTATAATTTTTCTCTAAATTTTTCTCTATTTTTTTCTTCAATATCCCATAATGATGTGAGACCTGTGCAGTAGATAACAGCCACAGCAGAATATGGCTAGGAAAACTCTCCAGAACTGTAGTTTTCCTTACAGAAATACACTCAGCAGTTTTTAACTGACAGCACATTAATTTCTGCCACRTTTAGCTTGAACTTAGTTTTCAACGTTGATTATCTAGATAACCCAATCTAAAAATGCAGATTAGCATTCTGGCACAAAGGAAAYGATTACGTATATTGTGTTCATACCAAAGGCAGGAGATAAACCAGACTTCTGCTCCGCCCCACTTTTATGAACGAGGGGAGTAGACAAGCAAAATACAATGAAATGCAGAAATAAGAGCACACTTCTGAGGTTGAACAGGCACGGTGTCTCAGTTGGCTAGACAGAAGTGTGTTTGTAATGAGCAAAAAGATATTTTTCTATCAGATCATCTTGGTCCTGAAGCTGGGGTTCAAAATCACAGGAGCTCCTAAAATGAGTTAACTTAAAAAGGCATTTTTCTTTCTTCCTCTTTTTTTCTTTTTTTTCTTTTTTTTTTTTTTTTCCCCCACCAGATTTTAAATGGAGCGTTTTCAGCCAATGAATAGTTCATGAGCAGTAAGCTACAGCAAAGCTACACTCTCAGCATGGGGATCCTGGACTCTGGGGAGGTTCACAAACATCTCCATGTCAGGCGCTCGCTGATGCTGGGAGGAGAGGGATGTAGAGCATCTCTCCTGAGCCTCCTGGGAAACCAATTTCTGCCAGATGGGCCCTTTACTCCAGTGCTCCAAGATCTGTCATGTTTGGCCACGACCCCATCAACCCATGGGCAGCTCTGCACAGAATCCCCAGAATTGCCCTCTTCCAGACCCTTTTCCCTTCAGCTTTCAGCAAATGACTTTGCCTCCGGTATCATTAGAACCTCAAGTCAAATGAAGAGATGCTGTTATCATACTCATGTGACCTCTTCCAAAAAAAAAAAAAAAAAAAAAAAAAAAATCTTAGCAAACATAGCAGGGAGCAAATGATCACAATTCTGCTGAAACACACTTTTGCATATGTAGTTAAAGATTCTATTTATTCTATTACTGGAATCTGTTTATCAGCCTACAAGCCAGCATTGTTAAGACCTCTATATAATTTCTCAATTTCCTTTCAACTCTTTCAAGTTAAAAATATAGAGTGCAAGCTGCATCCCCGAGGAGATGCACAAAATATCTCAGGCACACAACATCATTCCAGACAGCCAACCTCTCCTCTCATTCGTGAAGAATTACACCTGTTATGCTAAATGAGCCACTAGTCTGGAAAACCCGACCGATAGGTCTCTGCCTTGGGTAATTTATTCCATATCTGCACGGCTGGATAGCTATGACCGATATGCATTTCACAGCCAGGGAAACGGAGCTGACTGTGTAATAATCTAATATAAAAACCAAGAACAAGACCACAGCATTTTACAGCTAGTTGTTTTAAGTCCATTTCAACTGTTGGTAAAACCTTTATAGCAAAGATGGTCGATTAAGCACTTATACTTACCGATGAATCTGGGAGGTGGTCCTCTTCTTGAGAAAAAGAGCTGTTAAAGGCTCTGAAGGTTTCACTGTTCTGTTTGTGCTTTTCAATTGTTGCTTGAATGACCTAAGACAAAAAATCCAATCAAAGARGGAAGAGTTGCAAAAGCAGTCCTGGAAAAATTCTCTCATAGGGAAATATATTAGAATTAGCATTTTAGTGAACAAACTCTGATATTGTACAAATGAAAAAGRATATCAAAAACCTTAATGACTAAGAATGCTATTGCAAGCTCACTAACATTAACTTAAAAGCCAAGAATGCTATCAGTGTTTCTACAAGTCAGCTTTTAAGAATATACTATTTATTTCAAGACCTAGGACTTTTTTTCTTCTTCTCTGGCTGCATTTGGGGACTGCTGGAAGGGGAATCCATCCAAAGACTCTGTGCACCCCTTAGAGAAAGCAGGTCAGCAGTACAACCTCAGCAGGAGCACAGGATTTCTCCACAAGCTGCTCTGCCAATTGGACTACTGAGCTTCCTTGCACAGCCTCACTCACTCAGAACCCCCAAAAGATGATTTTAAAAACAGAAAGTGCTGACTGTATGGTGATTTCCACCCAGAGCATAATGTTTTTGCATTACCTGAATCCATTCCCTCTTCTCCTCTTCTGTCCTGTAAAAACAGAAGAAAAATACACAGACTTTATTACTCTACTTTCAATATTTTCAGTAAATCTAATTATTGATATTTTCCACAAATTTACATCTATCAAGATTTTCACTTAGAGGGGCATTGTTTTGTAAACATTGTAAATAAGTCTTTACCTTTATTATCAAACAAAATAAGTGCCAAAAATGTGCAAATTATCACCTCAGTGAAATCCCTAAGCATTGCYATCAACATCTTACACATCTAGCAAATCAAATCAACATTAATAGGTTCTGACCTAGGACAAATGAATTTTCTTATGTATCTTAATTAACTACTTTTGCTATTCATCTCTTCTTGATTTAAAAACAAGTCATATTAGCGCTATCATATCCYCTAGGTATAGATTTCTACATAAATATTCCCAAACCTTGGAAAGCAGAACAAACACCATACCTGGCTTGCAGTTCCAGTGATCTCTTTTTTCCTGATATTGAAAACGTATGAGCTACATTTTGCTTGGCAATTTCTTGGACCTGCAAAAGCAACAAGTCTTGCTTGTCTCCATCTTATTTTAATCATTTTATTGACTCCCAAATTCAACACTCACTGTTTGCAATACTTAGTGTGAAAGGATCACTCAAATAAAATGCAGTAGAAAGGTTGGAATGACAAAGGATCCTTCCCATAACTGTTTGTCTGGTTACCAAATCCCAAAATTCACACCACCAACTGGCCCCACACAGTGCTAGGGGAATAAGTCAGTTCCTGTCTCTGGCAGGTGACAACACAAAGCTTTCAATCAAAGTATGGTTACAGCCACTATTTTTTTTTAAACCTGCTTTCCATTATCTCATAATGATAAATCTAGAAGAAAAAAAAAAAAAGACTCAAACCTGCAGTCCTGCAATGTCCATTTTCTCTCGAACACTGAATTTCTGGCCTATCAGCCTCAGTTTTGGCACACAGTAGAGCACCATGCTGTTAAACTGCAGCAAGGGAAGATGATAAATGCAGTGGTTACGGGCAGGACAGAGCTTGCATTTTAACAGTTTAGGACTCTGGTGCAGCTTACTCTAAAGCGCAGTTCACGGGGAGAGGTTTGAGGATTGGCTCAAGTCTCAGCACTAGGTGCGGGAGGGAGGCGCACAGAGCCCGGCCCCTGCTCCTCCTGCCCGCTCCTTCCCGGCCTGCCCTCTCCCTGGCACCAGCTGGACCACCCCGAAAGCAAACGGGGGAGGAAGGGGAAGGAACGCTCCGAGGGAAAGGCTTCCAGCGTGTGAAAGCTGCTTGCATTGGGACCAGCAGGCCAGAGAAGCAGCGCTTCACAGCACAGCTCTGGAGCTAACAGTGWTGGGAAGACTCACCAGGAATAAATACCTATCCTGCGCTGTGCCGTTTTTGGCTGAAAGTTTCTGAATATGTCCTTCCTTAATGAGTTCATTGGCTGGGTTTACAATGTCCTCTTCACCGCCAAGTCGCTCGTAGACCTCCAAAAGCTTGTGCATCTTTTCCTGTAAGTGCAAAAGCCCCAGCATTGCTTCTATTTTATACAAACATTAAAACTTCCCCCCATGCACTATTCCAACCRATATAGGTGACTAGTTCCTCCACTTGCAGCTGTTACATTAAGTACTGCAGCGGTTTTAACATCTCAGAATAAGAAAGCTGCTTAAATCCTGCTACTGAGTAATAGCATTTGGAAAGGTTTGGCTTCCAAGCCACAAGCTGGGCTGATATGCTCCAAATGGCACTGTCAGCACATGATGAGAAACAGAGAGCAGATGTCCACGCAATTACACTCAAAAACTTGCCAAAAACATCTGTAAATCACACCTGGATCCCTCTACAGATTAAGCTGGAATTTCAGGTCTTCATATGCTGTGTGTATTTATTTGACTTGAAATATTTCATTGTACATATACATCACCCCAATTCCTGTCCTAATCTCAATTCCTCTGACCAAAGATTAAATAAATAGATGCACTGCAAAAAAAAAAAAAAAAAGGAAGTAGAGGAGAAAGAAAAAGAAAACTCAGAACTGAGAGCTTCTAACAGGAGCACTACTGTCTGTGGAGCTGTTAAAGGCTAACGACAGAAACTCACAATAAAAGATGCGCTTCTCAAGAAAATGTACTACATTCGAACAGAAATAGGTAGTTTCAAAACTGGATTTCCTGGGACATTTGAAAAAACGCAGACACCAGCTGTGTCTCCTGCGCAACAACGGCAACGGGAAGCTGGGCCGGGAGCGCGACGGGCCGGGCTGCCGGCCAAGCCACACGGAGGAACTAAACCCACCTGCCCGGCCTGGCAGAGCCGCGCACGGCGCGGCCTCCAAACACCAGCGCCTGGAACCACGCAAAGTACTTCCACGCCAAAAGAAATCACATACACATCCAGAAATCACATGCACCTCCAACCAACCAACAGCAGGAGCAATGGAAAGATGGGGGAGAAAAAGAGAGAAGTTGACTGAAGTTAAGATGCAAACATACGTGTACAGAAATTATGGTAACATTCAGTCTAGAAGGCCCCATTAAAGAGCTTTAAGGTGAAGCTTGCAAAACCTGCGCTGCCTCTGTCTGCCCTGCTCTTGAAGTTCAGGAAATTTACCAAGGTATTGATACACACGAACATATTTGTGYATTAAAACCAAACCAGAACAACCCGTGGTCCTGCAGGGCTTGCACTAAAAGTAGCACAAATCTGCAAGAACATCTTATGTCTAAATAGTTAGAACACCCAAAAGTAATTTAACTCTAAAGGGGACTTAAGACATCCAGCTAACCCCTATAACATGGGATTTGAGTTCTCTCCAGTTTTACTTCAGCAAGACTATGACAACAGAGAAGTGTTGTTTCAAGTGAACACGCAGATGACAGTCCCAGCTGCAGCTTCTGCTCACCATCTTGCGTATGGCTGCRTTCGAATGGTTTGCTGCTGTAGAGATGAGCTCCAGAGATTCTGCAATTAAAGGCAGTAACACTTACATATAATGCTTTTTTTTGGATATATATTTATATACGTAAATCATTCTCCAGATTACATCTGCTAATAGCACAATTCTTTCATCTCCCTGATCAGTGTTTCTGCTGCAAGACAATTATTTCAAAAGCAATTGTCCTTCAGCAAGCTGAAGAGAACATTTATAAGCAGTTGCACACACAGCCACTTCTGTGGTTTAGCTGCACCACACATACCTAATCATTTATCTTTCTCTCCTAGAAGTTCAGCCAAATCAAAGCACAAGAGAGTTCCATTTCTACATTTCTACCCTATGCCCTCAGAAAGGAAACGCTCTCCCACATTGGATCGCGTTTGTCAGACGGAGGGGGCTTTACACATACTTTCAGCATCTTTCCTGTCGGGAGACTCCTCTGGGAGTTTCTTTAGGTAGTCCTTGAGGAGCAGCTCGTACCGGGGGATGCGCTGCACCGGCTCCAGCATGTGATGCTGCAGGGTCAGGTTTCCGCACACCTCCTGTTTCTGCAGCCAAGACAAGCACAGCGGGGTTGCGTTGGTTCTGTCCTTGGTGTTAAACACAAGCTCATGTGCACGCATAAGCGCGTAAGAAACCTCCTCAAGTTATCACAGCAGACAGGTTTCATGTGAACCTTCATCCCTGACATTTTTGGCAGATATACAGCAGGTTTTGTGGATGTGAACTAAATACAAGATATGCTTTATTATTAAAARCATATGACCTTTATCTTCAAGGTCAGCTAAAGTAAATTTGAAAAATCATCATCATTAAAATCATCATCATTCATGTAAGTGACATTCATTTTTACTTTTTGATTTTCTTGRATTTATTATAGCTAAGGATTGTTGGTGTCTGGACCTGGACGGTTATCCCTTAGCAGCCTGGGTGCAAAGCTGCAATTAAAATCCAAATGCAACTTTCAAATTATTTGAAAATAAAAATAATACAGACAAAACAACGGAATGAGGTTTAGTTGATTCTCCCCTGTGCTTGTGTGACRCACTATGAGCTTTGCTTTGAACCTGTAAACACAGCCAAGAGGTTCCCAGAGTCCAGTCTTTGCCTTGTGCAGCTATGATCAATAGCACAAGCAGAAGGCGCTGTGATCTTGCTGCTGCAATAGCCTGTGCTGAAAGAACTGCCCTATATTCACRTGGTTATTAGTAGGCTTCAGAATTGCCGCTGCCAGACGTGCTGCCTGTTGATCCGTTTGGTGAAGCTTGGCTTGAGCAAGAGCAGCAGCACCCGGGAGCTCTGGTCGCTGCCGGCGCCGCTGTGGGCTGAGCGGGACCCTCGGCCCCGTGGGGCTGCGCTCCGGGCTCTGGGCTCCTCGGTGCCGTGCGGGGCTCGCCGGGAGCTCCCGGGCTTGCACAGACAGGGACAGAGCCAGGCCACGTGCAGCAGAGCCCTGCTAGGAGAGCGGCTTCCCCAATTGCGGCTCTGCTCCCTGCTCCTCCAAGGGGGAGCTCCCGTGGGAGCCGCCGTGCCAGAAAGCGCTGACCCTCCGMGGGGCCTCTCCTCCCGTGCTGGGGATTGCTCCCTCCCCGACAGCTGGCTGAGCCCCACAGCTCCATTTCGGTCACAGCTGGGCTCCCTCCTCCGCTTAACCCTCTCCCTGCCAGCCCCCGYTTCCCAAGGGCAGCGGGTGCTCCGGGCACCCGCAGCAGGATGTTGGGAGCAGCTGGAGCTCTGGCCCACCAAGAGGATCTGGAGGTGCACACAGGCTCCGGCATGAGCAGCACTCTCCCTCCTCCTCTCCCAATGCTTTTCCTATAACAAGGGCAAACATCCAAGTTAAGGGTCCCCATCCAGGGATTCACCAGAGCTTTGTGCTACTGCATCTGCCTCAGGAGAGGAGCAGACCAACAACAGAGCGACCCAAAGAGCGACCCCCACCTGAGGCAATGCCCGTGGTCCAACACACCAGCCTCGAGATGAGCGTAGATTGATTAAAAAAAAAAAGGCACTTAAATTTAGTAATGAGGAAGGAGAAAGAGAAATTRACAGCTTTATAACTGGATACGTTCAGCGTCACAGTGAAGGGACAGGGTATCCTGCCCAAGGGAGAGGGTATCCCGCCCAAGGAGGGATCAGCAAGCAGGACCAGGCACATCACGGGTGACAGCAGTGCCCTGGCAGGACTGTGTCACATGCACAGTTTTTCTGCCCTATGCTGTATAAATATCAACAGAAAACAGAATGCAAAGTGGAGCTATCTCTTACTCTCCCCCAGCAGAAACCTCACTCTGATTTCTTCTCATACCAAGATTGCAAAGAGGGAGCACATCAAGGATTTCTGGATAAACAAAATCCAGTCAAAATTAGGGTAAATCATATGGTTACAACCAATTTCCTCTCACTTTGTAACTTCCAAGTCTTAAGCACCATCTGTGCATTCARTGTGGTAGAAAAAGTCACCTACATGAGAATCTGTGTCAAAAAACAAAAGTGAAGAAAGGGCTCCATTAAATTTGGCATGTTAGTACAAGAGCAAAACTGTCTTATAGTTAAACACTGTGAAGTGCACTGGAAGCAAAATAAAACAAATAAATGAAGATTTCAGAGCCACATTAAAGCCAATTAACAACATACCTGTATATTCTGAACAACGTCTTTGAAGGGTGAAGACCTCTGCATACATGTATTCACCATGTCCATGGCCCTGTCAAAGTTCTTTACATATTCTCCATACATCTTCAGAAAAGGAGCCAGCTTTTGTAGGATATCTCCTAGCCGGGGGTTCGTGTTCCTGTTGAAGGGAGACAGGTAAATACAGAACTAGGGAAAGTCATTAAAGAAAATTATAACAGAGTCTTCCATGAAGTCTCCTCTAGGATACACAAAATCTAAACTATGCTATGATGGTGCATTCTTCTTCATTAAGTAGTTATATTTTTAATATTTCACAGAACTATCTATGAGGCTCAAAATAAGCAGTTTACTTCTTTCATACAGTAAACCTGGAGAGTGAAAATACAGCCAGAAGAAAAAAWTTTTGCAATAAAATATTCACTTTGATCCTTGCATTCAGGATGTAATATATAAAATAAGAAAGGAACTGTATTGCAAGTAACAACTTTGTTGCAAGGCTAAACTTTGATTGCTAGAGTTTTTAAAATCAGATTTTAAAAATACAAGTAATGACAATTACCCACCATTCCTGTGTAATCCTTGTTTTGAGCTCAGGAAGAAGAAATTGTCCATGGAAACAATAGATGGAAGAAATATTTGAAAAGATGCCTGTTATCACTTCAGATGAAATACCTGCTTCTGACAACTTAGTGCAAAAAACCTGCACGAGAAAAGAAGGCAGTAAGTTTATATATCTATATAAAGAAAAAAAAACCCACAGTGGCTTTAGATGTTAATATTTTAAAGCTGACTGCATAAGAACAAGGCTACTTGACTGAAACTACTGAAAAAATGAGATGCCTTGTATTTGTAAGTGTAAGCTGCATAGATCAATCAGGCCATGACAACTACTTACTCATATTTACATGCAACAAAACAAACCATTTCATTACTCTATTTCTCTATGTGAAAAAAAAMCACTGTACTGAAAAAAAGTAAAAAAGACTCCATGGACTTCTAAGTTCTTGAAACTCAGAGTGAAGGGGGTGGCAGAAGACACCGTCTTTGCTCACAGGAAGCAAACAGAGGTTATTCAAAATTGGGTTACCTGATCCAATAGATGGAGTCTTTTAACGTATGCTTCTTCCGTATGGAGCAGCTCGTTTGCAATGTTGAACAGCTTTTGGGGCTCTGTACACTAGGGGRAAAAAATTAGAATTACACAATTCATCTGAACCTGCAAACCTGACTTCTGTCAATGCTCCCTTTTCCATCTTCCCAGTGGTCCAGATTCCCTGCCAGCGAAGAACCCTGAAGTGAATGACATTAATGAACACCCAAATCTGTGCCATCCTTTCCAAAGGATCTGCAGGCTGTTTCTGAAAAGACCATTCACTGATGCAGTCAATGGCTGGCCAGGATGCTATTTTAATTCTATACACATTTTTTAATGAAGAACCAGAAACATCCTCCAAAACTGGAAATACACCTAGCCTATTTATGTGGTTACTGAGGCACTGGACACCAAAACAGCTCTCGTYCATTTTTAATTCGAGTCTTGTGACTGCAAAACCAACAGAAACCAGAAAAGACCCCGTTGGTCACATACTTCAAACCATGACCAGTACATAATTGCTACCAGTGGCCTATACCAAAGTATTTTGTGCAGTTTTAAACTCCTWCCAGTTCCTTGGAAATAATTTTCAGCACCAGAGAAATGCTTCATATTCACTAAAATAAATAAATGACTAACACAAAACTTGAAGGCAATTACAATCTCTCACCTTCAGTTACTTTTTAGCCAAAAGCTATATAGATTTTCAGCTCTAGCTACTTAAAAATACTTCAGTTAGTATGACAGAGGCTTAAGCTTTTGACAAACTCTCTACATCTTTGTAAAGGTCTAGACTTTAAACTCCATGCTTACAATCAAACCAAAATTAGATTCCAGAACYGAGGGCTGGTTGGTTGGGGTTTTTTTAGGAACAGAAATCTCTGAAAAGGGCATCAAGGATGATCAAACATATGGAAATTTTACTGGGCTGGATCTGGAAAAAAAGACAATTGTGAGGAAGATAAGAGAACTGTAAATGCTTAATGGAACAGGGTATCAACCGGCTGCAGTTATTCACCCTCTTCTCTGTGGGAAAACTAAGGAGCATGAACTTAAATTAGCACGGTCCTGCTTCAAGACCAGGAGACATTCCACAAAGATACTCCTGACACRTACCCCTGTTACTGAAATTATTTCAAGAAAACTCCATTTTTCTTTCAAATTATTTTAACATCCTGCTCCAATTTTCCATATGATAAATATGGAAGGAAAAATGAAATCCCAGCCCAATAATGCTACGGRCTTGCTTTGGGGAAAGCACAACATATTACAGCACATAACAAAACGTGCTGCTGGCCCCTCAGTCCCAGGAACTGCAAGGATCTCTCACTGAGAAAGAATTTATTTACCACTTTCCTGAGCATAGAAGGGAGCGTCTGAACAAAAAGCCCTGATGTAATCTGGCTGGCATGCTGGCCACCACTAGCATCCCTTGATTTGTTTGAATTAAGAATTTGAAAAATAATTATTTTCAACCCAATGCATTTCTCCTGAAAACTAAACCTTTACACAGCACAGGCACTTTTAACCTCCCGGCCCTCACCACCTGCAGCTCAGTTTATATTTCCCCCCAACTTGCTGACATCTGTTTAGAGAGCAAGCAAAAGCTCGACAGAATTTTAGCACGAGTCCAGCATAACATTTTAAAGACCAGCTACATTTTGAGGTGCTGTTTTTTGCTGGTGACAGAGCTAGGCACGTTTATGAGCCTATCTGCAGCGCGTTCACCGTTCCACAGCCACAGGATTGCAGAAGGAGTATCTGGTAGAACCCATTAAGCATTATGGCTGGTCCAGCTCTTCTGGCCTTCTGCATGTTGCACCACGAAAGGCAGACTGGAAGCCAGCTCAGGCCTGGCTTACCCGCCTTACTAGCAGCCTTGCCTACGTCTTTGCTGACAAACCCCACACCAACGATTGCTCAAGACACATCCGCTGGTTTTGAGCCCTCTATCCAAAGAGATAACGTTGTTTACTAACACTAAAGACAACRCACAGCATTGGGCTTGACATTTGACTGCAAGCTCCACAGGATGCCAAGCGTGGCTGCGGGGCCCGAGCACACGCAGYGACCCTGCCAGCGAACTCACCCTGCAGGAACCCCACGGTGTCCCCAGGACGCCCCGCTGGCTGTGAAAGGGCTGCTCGCCCGCACGGCGCGGCCCTGGGCTGCCCTGTGCTTTGCAAATGTGCTCGGCCTCAGCACGAGCCGCTGCTCTGCCGAGCTCCTCTCCGCAGGGGCGCCCGGCACCGCCGCAGCGCGTCACGGCTGTCCCCTACGGGGAGGGCACCGCCGTAAAAAACCCTTCATGGGCTTTTTCAAACCCTCTAGCCGGGTAAGCACGAAGAGAAAGGAAGCGGTGGGTGTTTCTGTTTCCTTGGTGGCACAGGAAGCTTTGGGCAGCGCTCGGCACGCCCGTGCCACGATGCTCCTCTGCTGCTCGGCCCGAGCGGCAGCGTTTCAGACCTACCAGACACACGGCGGTACCTGTCCACRAAACAAAACAAAGCCCTTCACTCCCAAACAGTGCCTTTACTCCCCAAAAGGAGGAAATATCAGCCAGACAACCACAGGGCCCAGGTACCACAGGGCTCGGGGTCTGCAGGCAGCAGAAGCCTCTGCACCTGCAAGGCCACCAGCCCCGTGGCCACTGGCCCCAGGGAGACCCGGGGCCGCGAGGCTGGTGGAYGGTCCCTGCTCCAGGGACACCGCTCACACCACTGCAGAGACCAGCGGTTGTGCAAAGCACGTTCAGAGCACGAAGGCACATGAGGAAACTCGGAGGAGGATGACGCACCGCGCCGCCRCAGCCGCTGCTTTTCTGGTAAGTGCCATGGCCCAAGCACATCCAGCATCTCCGCTGCCAGAGGCTCTCGTTGGACCTCAGGAGGAAACTGCTGGGATATGTTCAAAATCGTACACAGTCATGCTTTAAAAATGCTATGAAATACCACCAGTCCCCACCACAACAAGCACAGAAAGCCCCAGAAAAACTTCCCACGCAAAAATGCTGAAACAATATGWGAAGGTTGTCCTAAGCTGAAGCTCTTCTCCACACCTCAGCATCTGCTTTTCCTTAAGCTAGGCAAAAACAAAAATTGATGATGGGATAACACGGTGGGATGACATTTTTCTGAATCTGCGTTAGGATAAACACTGACCTTAGTTCTGCATCCTAAGCAGTCTGCATGGCCTTTAAATATCACTGAATTGGGGAGGAAAATAAACAAAAAACAAAASAAAAGCTTCATAACCTACTGCAGAATGGTGATGATTTACCCAGTGGCAGAACAAATCCAGATGCCTCCATGCAATGTGAAAAGACTGATTGCTTTGCAGCGTTCCCTGGTGTTAAATCAGGAAGTAGAAATAATAATTTCACTTCCTCTTCAAAACAAACTATTTTTACTTTGTTTGCTTTTTGTAATACAGACACAGAGAGAGTCTTGTCCACAGGTCAGACTTGGCGATGACAGTCACACTTTCCGACACAGGCTGCACAATGAAATTAGAAGCAAAACCCCAGCGAAGCCCAGGAGGAGCAAGCAGAGCAGGGCCCGCGCGGGGCCACGTGGGCAGCATCATTGCTCTGTTCTGCAGAGCAGCTTCGCAGGAAGCAGGGCTGCTGCAGAAAGGCTTTTTTCTTCTCATGATTTTTAGCAAGCGTGCGTTTTTTCTCAGTGAAAAATATTTAAATGCAAAGATTTTATTTAATCTGGGAAGAGGTGGTGGCCTCCGGCACCACGGAGCAGGACCACGGAGCACAGACGCTTCCCGGGCCACCACCACAGCTAACAACCCCCCTGTTCGCTTTCCTTTGGACAATGGAGAGCCACAAACGCAGCAAGTCATTGCGCCGCCCTCGCCGCGTGTGGCGGGCGATGCCCGGGAAGCCCCGACGCGACGYGCCCCTAACTAGAACATCCCCCAAACAAAAAGTAAATAGAAAATGCACCAAACAAACAATCAAACCAACCAACCAAACAAAAAACCCATCAATCTTTTGCATCTTCCATTTTCTCTTTCTGGAAAATTTTCCAACCCTTTCTATCACTAGTATTTCTAAAAATAGCCATCTTGATAAACAGATAATCATACGAATCTGTCATTAATGTTATTCAGCTGCAGCAAGATGCACAACAGCCTGGACTACATTACTCTGTATTCAAGGAAAATCTCTTCGAGCTACAGTTTCTTGAACAGTAATTGGATACAATTTACAGAACAGCKACGCTCAGAACCATTTCTTGGCATAGAAAAAAAAGTCAAACAAAAGAAGCACATTTGTCCTTATTAAAAACAACAACAAAACAAGAGCCAAAAAACAACCTGCTGGAAGAGACATCCATATCCATGGCCTTCCATAAGGCAAAGCCCTGACCTGCAAGATGCCCTAACCAATTAATATTTCGAGTGCCACTGACAGCCACTGAAGGCAAAACGACCTAATAACTGGAAGCTGAACCTAAACTAATTAAAGSAAGAGGCATAAGGTGCGAGTCTTCACCTGCAAAAACACTTCAGCAAATTTCAATGACTTACCTCTGGATGCGATGGATTCTCTTATAGGAAGTATTTTAAATCAAGAGTGGAAACTTTCTAAAAGACACAATCTAGGTCGGGAACAAGTTATGACCTGCGTCAGGCAGGAAATTAATGACTGSAATGATTGTTTGACAAAAAATAAACCAAACCAAAAAAATTGCCCACCAAATGAAAAGTGATGCAAGGCCTCTCTGGGCAGGAGYTGTCTCCAGAATGAGGAGCTACCTTACCTTGTTTACATCCAAATACTCTAACTTTGGCACTTCCGCTGTCTCCTGTTCCTCACTACTTCCTTCATCGATGTCGCTGTCCTCCTCCTGCGTGGAGTCCCGCTTCTGCTCCGCGGGGGCGGCCTTGGCGCCCTTCTTGTCCGTGTCCACRTCCCCGGGGTTCCCGCCCGCGCCAGGTTTCTTCTGCTCTGCGCCGTCTTCGCTGGGGAAGGTCTCCCCGGCCACGCTGCACGAGGGGCTGTCAATGCCACTGTCTCTGTTGGGGATTTTACCGTTACCGCTCAGTTCTGCGGTGGAGTCTTTACTGCCGAGCTCTCTCGAGGGCTCTTTGCTCGCGTTCACAGCCGGGCAGTCTTCGTGGCTTTTGCCGTCCTCTATGCTGAGCTCTCTGATTTTCATGATGTCCGCGCTGCTGGGATCGGCGCCGCAYGGCGCGTCCGCCTCGTTCTCCTCTGGGTCGCCCTTCTCCACCGCGGAGCTGCCGCTGGACGGCACCGCGTCGCAGTCGCACGAGCCCGACTGCTTGGAGGAGTCCGGGCCAGGCTCCATCTTCAGCGCCAAATTCAGCTGGTTTCTTTGAAGGACGTGTATAGGCTGCCTATAGGTGAAGAGAAAGCACGACAGTCACTCACACTTGCACTCACAGGTTTCAGCAGTGCCTCAAAGGAGGCAAGGACGGATTTTCGTTTGGTTCCTGTTACACTTCTCACACCCCCTGACAATCCAAGGATACAGGGATGTGCATGTCGACGTAATAACATTCACCAAACAATTTCAGATAAAAACACGTCACTTGGAGCCAAAAGTCTCACACAGGGTCTAACACCATGAGAACACTCCGTATAGCTAGGTTTAGTGCTTTGGAGACAGGAGACCCATCTTTTAAAGGAAGAATTTGGTTATGAGTTTGTTTAAACAGGAACTTACATTCTTCAATGTATCAAATTAATCTTTGCAAGAGAGAGGTCGTTTCTGAAGCCCAAGGACACACTGCTTTTCCAGGTGAAAGACCCCTTACCAGGTTCCCCATAGGTGACAATGTGTCCTCAGACTCAGAGCTGCATTTCTCTCTCTGTCTTTGTGACAAGTATCACTTAGCACAACTTGGTCAGAGAGGATCTTTATGTTAATATTGTTTGTTAAAAAGAGCTAGGATTACAGCATAAAACTATCAAACCTAGTTAAATATTCTGCATGTATATAAATTTTCAAAGGAAATCTTATAAGAGAATCCATTCCATGATACGCTGCAACTTAAGCATTTGCTGCCTCTAAGCAGCAAGTTAATGTTAAGTCTGACATGTATTGAATCTTAGACAGAAGACTTATTTATTTTAAACCTCTATTATTAAGTCCCTTTAACACTACAACAATCCCAATACCAAGTCTACTTACAAAAAGCAGATCTGGCCTGCTTCTCTCTAGCAGAACATTTGCTAAATTCAGTGGGCCTTGAATTCCAAGAAGAACCCTGATGCAAACCAATAGTCACTGAAAAACCTGCTTTTACAACAAATCCCTTATGCAGTCAGTCAAGCTTTGCACTTCCAGTAAAAAAACATTTTGAAAGAAGTCTCTGCATGACAACCTATGTTTCCTATTGTTCTATTTTAATTTTAAAATGCCAAAAAACAGAGATTAGACCAGATATCAAAGAAATATTTACCTAATACTTTCAAATTTCTCAATGAGCGTGTTGACTCCGGCTGATACGGGTATTTCCTCCTCTCCAGGCACTAAGCTCCTCGATGACTTGGGATCAGCTGGTAGAGGCCGCGACGGCGCAGGAGGAATTCTCTCCTGCCCAGGTTTGAGGTGGACAGGCTTAGGAGGTACTAATAAAACACAGAGAAGAAAGGAGGAAATAAATCTCCATCTTCCTCATGTTAAACCAAGCCAGAAAAATCCACCTGGTCAAGGCAGAACGAGGAGAATCCATTGTTTCAGCCTTCCTTACGAATCCCACCAGCACTGCTGCAGTCCAGAATCATCTCCTACACGAGAGCAGACTGCCCTATGCTAGAGAAAAACGTCGGGGCTCTATTTTGCGTGTCCCAAGCCGYGTCCTCAGCCGCGCTAACGAACTGAGCGGCCCGCAGGACCTGCCGCTTCCTCRTTACCAAACAGGATGCGCCGCTCGCGCCGCGCTCTTGCGCTCAGAGCTCGGGCCAGCGCGGCCCAGTTCCCCTCCCAGCACCCGTCAGAACGAAAACGCTCCTTTGAATTTAGCACTAATGCTGCGAGAGGGAAAAAAGGAAGGGGGAAAAAAAGAAGAAACCCAAACCACCAAAAATTGATCCCACCATGGATTTCTGTGCCATATATTTACTTGGCCAGAAACCCCACGAGCAGAGTGTAACAGCATTGCTTCCTTTCACCCTCCCTCCCCCATCCCCTTTGTGGTGTAGTCTTCATAAATTTGCTTCCTCTTTCGGTACTACATATACTGCTGAAATTAAACTCACAGTTTAAGAATGCAAACATCCTGCTTAAGATTTCACAAGGAGGTAAAAGCAAAAAGTTGAACACAGTACTTTGAAAAATGTAATAAAAATAAAAATGTATTCAGACCTCTCATATTGTTTGCAGAGTAAATGGTTTGGGGAGTGCGCAAGCAGTAACCCGTGGCAACAGGTCCAGTTACGGTTTCATAGAGTGAAAGCAACTTCATATAAGCAGACCTTAAACTAGAAGATAGGCAAATTGGCAAGGCGCTCACGCCAAGCGCTCACTGCTTGGGGCAGCGCTGCCAAATCTCCCCCTGGTTTTAAATATCCAAAGGGCTGGCGCACAAATGAGAACAGCCTAAATGCAGGTTTTCTTAAATAACTCTTTCAAGAGCAACAATTTATGTCAAGAAATTGAGATTTTTAATGGTCCATCTGGCACATCAGCATAATGCGATTAACATTGTAATGGAGCTTTAATTAGCAACTGTTCTGAATGTGTAATTTCATGGTTACTTTCTCTAAGRGGATAACTGACACGCAGGCACCGAGACGCCAGGGCCCGTTGTCCCCGCTCGGCCCGAGCTCCGAGCCTGCTGCAGCGCCGGCCGGCCCCGGCGCCCGCTCTGCTCCCAGCACACRGACCACGCGGATGCTCCGTGTCCGGACCGAGGAGGATGTGCCCAAGTTGGGGGTGCGGAAGGAAGCGGGGCTAAAACATGGACATGGCTGATTGCATCTCAGCACCACAAACCTAAAGCCACATCTTCTAATGATTTGAGCCTAATCAGGACACCTGGACTGACTCAAGATTGGCCCAGTGTCCAAAATTTGGAATTCCTATCTTGAAACAGAAGTGTTCATRTATTAAAGACCTCCTAGGTTTTTAATAACTTAAGCTAGGTTTTCGGCACCCCAAGGTGAATTTTGCTGCCTCCCTCCAAGGGCTGACCCTGCTGCCAAGGAGCTCAGCGCTGCCCACGCCAAGCTCTGATCCCCAGCTAATCCTCCAAGCTTCCAAGGAGCACAGCAATGAAGTCACCTTCCTTTGGGCTCTGTGCTGCTAATTACCAAATTCTATTTGGGGARAACGATAATCCAGCACCCTGGCGAGGTCCCTAGCTGGGTTAAACCACAGCGTCACCATCACTCTCACTGCATGGGGCCACCACCAACAAGCAAGGAGAGGTTACAGGAAAAATGTCACCCAGAACACAGCTGGTTTAATAAAAACAACATCCCAAAAGCAACGTGGAAATGTATCTGCCCTGGGACTCCACATAGGGTTCCTTAGCTTTCTCAGTTGCATTTTCCTGGAGAGGCAAAAAGGAAACATTCTCCTTCCTTGGCTGGCTCCACAGCCTGCACACTAAGRGGGGGCAGATCAAGTGCACAATGCAAACAAGCCGTTTCCAACGTACAAAGTCTATAAAAGGGAAGATAAAAATATCTTCATCATCTCTCTTGTTTGCAAAGCATCTTAAGTGCAGTTTTTGTACTGCCATGTGTGGCTGTTTGCAGAGACTTTTTAGATTGCAAAGAAATAAAGGGAATTAATAAAATAACTGTTTACATTTCATGACAATTAAGCATCTTTCAGGAAKATGACTGGCAAATCCATGACCGAGACTTGTAGCAGTAATCTGCAGTGTTGGAAAACTTGGCTCAGTGTAGCATAAAAGGAGAATATTAGAACCAGAATCTGATTTTTGCATACTGGGGTTGTGTGACAACCACATTTTGACTGTAACTTGGTTCTTAATAGATGACATTTAGTAATATGACCAACACCAACAAGCTAGGGTCTATCAAAACTGCAGTAGTAGAGGTAGCTAATCAAGAGAGCATATTACTTTTTAGCATCTRTTTTACCTCATTGCGAGATTTTCATTAGTCTCTGGGCATTATGCCATACACCAACTASAGGATGCACTAACTGTGCTGCTTCTAAGCCCACGAGTGTAACAGGAGAGGGCTTGCATGGGCATTTCTGAGCAGCAGARAGAAGAAACAGGTAGTAGCTGTCTCAGTGATGGACACAGATGCTAATCCACTCAGGTAACTTTTAACTCTGTTGGAATCAAGCTCAGCAAGCTCCCCCTTCAACATTTCCAACATTAATGTGGAAATACAAACATACACACACACAGATACAAAAATACATACACATATGCACACACTTTTATATGTGTATGTGTCTGTGTATTAAAACACACACAGACAAAACAGGCTACATCATCAGTAGTTTGAACTTTAGAGGAGCTGCCCTGATCTGCACCAGTTGAATTCACTCCATTTGTTACTGAACTGACACTTCTGCTATTCTTTTTTATTAGTAGTACTAACTAACAACATTCATGCAACACCACTGAAGACATATGGAACACGAAGACCTCAAGGAGAAAGCTCTGTGAACACACAGACCAGTAACTACTGGAATGATTTGAGCACAAACTACTATCTCAGCTGAACATTTCAGATTGCCTTTCATTATTAGAAGACAGAAATCTTTTTTTGGGGCAGCTRTTTCAGGCTAAATTCAAACCCCAAACTGCATTCATAAAGGCTTTTGGAATTGGAGGTACAACAGCTCAGTTTGTACAAAACCTCCTAATGGTGACCCAAATATTACAGGCTTATTAATAGTTTTTATTTTAGGAATTTAGTATCTTCTCTGGGATTCTCTTCTCCTCTAACCCAGACAGAATGTGCTTCTCAGGGCTCCATGCTGCTGCATTTGGGGATTATTACCCATTTCACTGCGCTTCTTGCAGCTCCAGCTGTGGAACTGCAACAGGCCAGTTGCTACCCTAGGATGTAACTGGTTTAGCTCATATTTCTCTTTTTTTTTTTTAAATATACTCATTCCACTCGGCATTTCCTGTTGCTACGCATAATTCTTTCAATAAATGGAAAACAGATCCCAGTTTAAACAATAAGCTATTCTTACCTATATTCTTTAAAAAATTAATAAAGGATGAAAACAATATTGCTAACTTAAACATAGACTTCACAGCTGCACAAAGCATAGTAACAACGCAGGAAACACAATATGACAAGCAATCTGCTATTTCTGACTCAATTTCTTCTCGTAGGCTTCCCTAAGAGGTTACCTAACATTGAAAAAATGAAGATAACAACACTCTGC